TTTAGCTGGGTACAGGATCCTGGGATGGAAATTGTCTTGTTTTAGGAGACTGATGGTCAATGACCATCTTCTTCTGGCTTGAAAGGTTTCAGCTGAGAGATCTGCAGTCATTCTAATATTACTACCTTTGTAAGTAATGCTTTTTTTATATATGGCTGCTTGCAGAATTTTCTCCTTCATATTATCATTGGCAAAGTTAACCAATGTGTTGAGGAGATGATTTATTTGGATTGAGTCTTGCTGGGGTTCTGAAACTGTTTACTATCTGAATTTCTGTATCTATTGCAGTGTTTGGAAAGTTCTCCTCCATAATATTTTGGAGTAGAGCATCTATGTCTTTAGGACCATCCTCTTCTCCTTCAGAAATTCCTATCAAATGAATGTTTGATCTTTTAGAGGGATCCCACAGCTCTCTCAAGGAATAATCAGTTTTTGCTCTCCATTTGTCTAACCTTTTTGAACACTTGAGAATATTCAAAAGCTTTGTCTTCAATTTCAGAGATCCTTTCTTCTGCTGGCTCGAATATACTACTGAGGGATTCTACTGTATTTTGGAGCTCCTAAACTAACTTTTTCATTTCCTTGAGCTCTGCTATCTCCTTTCTCATTATACCCATATCCTTGGTGATTTTGTCTGAATTCATTAATTTCTTGAGATAACTTTTGCACAATTATTTGGATTTATATTTCTACCTTTTCCTCCATTCTATTAATCTTATTTGCCACCCATATTCTGAATTCCATTTCTGACATTTCATCCATTTGTTTATCAATGGCACCTTCTGATATATCTCCTTTGTTGCTAGAGAGTCCAACTTTAGTAGGAATATATTTGTGTGCAATATATTGCTGGGACATCAGGTGGCACTATAGTCTTAGAGGACAGACAACACCACTGATAACCTCTCTCTAGATCCCAGGCATAGACTACATCCCCAGCCTAATTGTCCATTGTGATTGCCTGATTATTTCCTCAGCATTCAGGTTCCACTGGGTTGGGAACTCAGATTTCTCCCAGATCCTTCAGAGGCAGGTCTCATCACCATGCCCCTAGACAACAGTTCTCATGCAGTGCTGAAGTCCTTTAGCCTGTCACAACTGGAGGACTGATCCTAGCAAGTGGAACTAAAATGACTATGTTGTGCAGGGGGCCACCCTTACAACCTTCTCACGACCTTGCCATAATGGCCAACTCCTTGTTGCCCAGTCCTTCCCAAATTGGTCATCCCTATACCTGCCAAACTTATGGCAAATCCTCTCCAACCAGCCTTCAAATCTGGCTGCTATATACTGTTTGGGTTTGCCCTCTCTTCCAGGCAATCCACTCAATGCACTTCTCCGCAACAGCAACCAGCAACCTACAGTCTCACAGCACACTCCAAGCCACAGCTCCAGGCAAAGTTTCCTCACCAAACAGGCCTCCGGACTAACTTTCTTTTCTCCATTGCTCTGGGAGAGCTCAGCCTGACAGTCTTCCTGATATGCCATCTTACTTTTCCTGTATAAGGACTTTATACCTTCATGGATATGGATGTTCATGTCTCTCCCCACATTTGGAAAATTTTCAGCCCTTGTTTCTTTAAGTAACACTTCCTCCCCTTTCTCTGTCTCTTCACTTTCAAGGATTACCAGTATACCTAAATTAGTAATAGTAAATTTTAAATGTATGACCAGAAAAACCAAGTGAGGTGATGGCTATGTTGATCAGTTTGATTTAAGCATTCCACATGGTATATAAAATCATCTCATTGTACCCTATAAATGTACACAGTTATGATTTTTATTAAAAATTAATCTTTTTCAGAGAGAAAAAGAGAAGTAGAGAAAGATGGCCTACCAACATGCATAAAAGGACCTTCCATCTAAACCGCTTTAGTATCTATTTAAATGTGATGGGATCCAAACTTCTGCTAAAGAGTTCAAATTATTTTAACAAATGTATATTAAATTTGGTGCAAGGAACTACATTAGACACTGTGGAGTTTACAGAAATAAACATAACTTAGTTTTTCTTTGTGAGGAGAAGAAATATGTATAATTCAGAAGTAGTAACAAAATGAAAATATTAAAAACTACATTCCAGTGGAGCATCTAACAAGAGCCATACATAGTGTTGGTGATGGTGGGGGACCCAGAGAGAAAAAAATTACTTCCAGCTAAAAGGGATGAGAAAATGTCATCACAAATTTGGCATTCAATCTGGACTCTGGAAAAATGATGGTATTTCAGCAGTGTAAATCATAGGAGGGAGACTAGATATTCTAGGATCTGGAAAGCATCATAAACAGAGGCACATGGTACCATAGTTGGAAAATAACAAAGGAGGGGTGAGAGGGGCAAACTAGCCTTAAAAAATGTTAGACGATTAAAAAATAAGAAGAAATAAGAAACAACTAGGATATATAAATAAACTGTGGCACATCCACACAAAGGAGTATTATTCCATGCCAAGAGAAGTAAGCCACAAAGAGAACTTCAATGCATATTTAAGTGAAAGAAGTCAGCTTGCAAAGACTACAAACTATATAATCTTAACTATGTGACATTCTGGAAAAGACAAAAAAAAGATGGGTGGTTTCCAGAGGAAGTGAGGGAGGGAGAGATGAATAGGTGGGGCACAGATGATTTTAAGGGAGGAAAAGTATTCTGCATGACACTATCATGGTACATACATGTCATACGTCTGTCAAAAGTTTTGTACAAACTGTACAAAACACAAAGAGCAAAGTGAGAGAGCTGGGAAGTCTGGAGATGAGGGAGAAGCATGTATGGGAGCTCTGTTTTTCCTACTCAAATTTACTGTGAGCCTAAAGCCTAAACATTTTAACAAAATAGTAAGCGTGATAAATTTTATGTTATCTATATTTATCACAATAAAAATATAAAAACTAATACTAAGAAACTAAGAGGAGAAAAGAAATAACTATGATGGTAATTTGGAGAACCAATTGCCAAGAATTCTATATCCCCTCCTTACTTACATTTTGTAATGTAGACAATTAATTTCCAATCTGTAAAATTATGAAAACTACCTAAGCAATTTTATAAAATACATAGCAGGTTCCTAGGCCTTGTCCCAGAAGTGCTGAATCACTATTTTGAGAGAAGCTAGAAATCTGCATTCATAAAACACCTCTCTGAGTAAATCTAAAGATCCCCAGATTTAGAAACTATTTTCTGGACAATATTGAGAGGAGTAATGGGGTTGGAATTCTGTACAGGGAATCTTATTTCAGCATTAATACAGCATTGGAATAGAGAAAAAGAAGACTGATGCAGAAAGGCAGTTAGATGAATGAGTAGTGGATATAGAAGTGAATGTACTCCCCAAATTCCCATTACAAGAGAAAGGTTTGCCTCAATAATACTCAGGCCATTGAAAAGTAGAGGATTTGGAGCTCACTTGCAAGAAGACAAGGAAAGGGGACTGTAGTTGGAGAGAGGCCCAGAGACAGAGGACTATCTCTACATATATATGCTTAGGCATGGGAGAGACTTAGAGTGTATGAAGTAAGTGCCCCAATGTTGACCACAACAATAAGAAAGGGGGGAAAGTCAAATATTTATAATTTTGCAAATAGAGATAATAGGAAAGTTTGGCCACTTTTGATTGCTGGGATGGAGGGCTATTAGGAGAACACCTGATGACGTTAGACTTGTAGCCTAAGAAAATGGTACTAAGAAGAGACAGGGAAGAAAGAAAGATCAGGTTTAAAGGGAGAAAAGTGAGCTTGCTTTTGGATATATTGGAATATAAAGTGTTACTAGGACCTTCAAAGGGGGATATTTGACAGGAGCTAAAATTATGGGTCTGTACTTGAAAAAAAAAGTGATATCATTTAGCACTCAGCTATTTAAAGTGGAAGGTGCTATGGCAGTAAATGAGATTACTCAGATAGAGAAGGTGGTCTGAGCATAAAAGAGGGCAGAGAATATAACTCATACATTGGGCATCTCTTATTCTTTGTGTCATTCTCCTCAGTCTTCCCTGGCTTGTGTAAACCATGGCTTGATGTTGCACTGTGCACCACAAGTGTGCCTCAGGGAGAAAAAACAAGAGAGAGAGAAGAGATGAGGAGCACTCTAGGTCTGAAAGTACAAGACATCAACAGTTTCCAAGTATCTGTCATCTCCAGGGAGTTTTCTGACAGTCCCCTGCTGCTCGAAGCTAGGTGGTACCATGATTTAGAATTCTGTGCTTCTCAAACTTTCACATTCATATGCTAGAGTAGTAGTTCAGTGGGTACGGTGCTGGCCACATACACTGAGGCTGGCAGGTTTGAACCTGGCCTGGGACCAACTAAAACAATGACAAATGCAACAAAATAAAAATAGCCAGGTGTTGTGGCGGGCACCTGTAGTCCCAGCTACTTGGGAGGCTGAGGCAAGAGAATCACTTAAGCCCAAGAGTTTGAGGTTGCTGTCTCCAAAGGAGCTGTATAAGCTTGCAGTGTGACCAACTGTGTGTGTGACCAACTGTGTATAAGTTGGTCCCTTCCACCCACACCAGCATCTGCAGCTTTGGGACTTTGTGATGTGAGCTATTCTCACTAGGGTTAGGCTATATTTCAGAATGGTTTTCATTTGCATTTCTCTGATATTAGGGATGATGAGCATTTTTTCATCTTGTACTCTTATATTAATTCAAAAAATTTTTCAAATGATTTAAAAACAAGACACAGATTTCTGTCTCACCTGGAGAATCTTCTCAGTAAGTATGGTGCAGGACCTGACAGTTTGCATTTCTAGCTCCTGATTGATACTGATGTTGCTAGTAGACGGACCACATTTTTAGGCTCTGATTTAGATAATTTCACTTATTACCAAATACCATACAAATGTATAGAGATTAAGAAAATACCCAAGAATGCCACAAAGGGATTTCTATCCTTTATTTACAAAAGAGGGTGACTGCCAACTTTTTAACCCAAAGATCTCCTAAACAGAAGGGAATTTCCAACTTCACTTTTCCTTACCATGACTTTTTCATCTATTTGCAGAGTACCCAGATCCTGCTTGGAATTATGATCTTTTCTTTTGGAGTTGTTTTCCTTTTCACTTTGACAAAACCATACCCAAGGTATCCCTTCATATTTTTGTCAGGATATCCATTCTGGGGCTCTTCTTTGGTGAGTATAATCAATCAAGTTCAATTTGACTTCACGACTACCACAATGTTAGGGGATATTTTTGTTAGGAAACAAGCTAGATCCAGTTGTATAATATGCTTTGCAAAGTACAAGAAAATGAACCTAGTTGAAATCATTTCCTTTCTAATTCATCAAAATTACTGATATTCCATCATTGGGTCTTTCTTGAAAATCCTTTGGGAATATTTCTCTGGGTCTTGAAGTTATTTATTTGTCCATTCATTCTTTCAAAATTAGTCACCATATATTATAGATACATAGAGCAAGACAATGAGAATCCAAAGATTAGTAACACATGAGCCCTTCTTTCAAAGGGCTCTTGGTCCAGCAAGAAAGAAAATATGTAACTGGATCATATCAAGGCACTGTGGTAAATGGTATCATAGAGGGGCAAGAAGTTTTCACATAAGCAGAGATCAAGGAGCAATTTACTCTTTAGAGAAATAGAGAAGCAGGAAAGGTTGCTCAGGTGTAACTTTTGAGCTACACAGAGGCATTGACTTAACCACATTTAATCAAATTCAATAAACATCAATTTAGCACCTAATACTTCCAGAGAATGGGCAGGGTATACAGTTTCAGGAGAAGTTTCAGAAGAAAGGCTGTCCCTGGTCTCAAGGTCTCAGAGTCAGACAATTACTACAGACATGAAGAGGGATGGTGGAGGAAAAGCACTGACAAAATGGAGGGGTTATTGCCCAAAGACATTTCCACCTTGCTTGAGCTTTAAAGGCCGAGTGGTTAATCAGGTGAGGACTCATCCAGAGGGAGTAAGGGATGCCTGGGAGTAAGTGGGAGGGAGGGATGTCTTATTGAATACCAAGAAAGAAATTCGAGCAAAACACTGGAGGTATGGGAGGGAAGGTGGAAGGATGAGGCCAATGGAAATACTCATAAAGGGCTAGAAATTTAAACATGGATTTGAAATTTCCACTAGACAATGCTGTTACCACATTTGATACATTTCTATAAAAATTCTTGGCTATTTTGAAGAATTACCAGCACATTCACTGCAACTCCTTCCTACATTCCCATCTAAGGGAATGCAGTGGATCGCAATAAGGTGGAATCGAGTCTTAATGGTTGTAGACTGATTTGACATCAGCGTGTCATGATATCAACGCTGAATCCACAATAGCTATGAAAGGAAGATGGATGAGAAAACTACAGCCTGATATGATTTAAAATGTTCTCGTGTTCAAATACATACATAAAGCATATTTCCAGTCCAATGTTTTGTCCACTACTTATTTGCAATCACACAAGGCAATGCACTTCCTTACTGCCCTAAGGATTGTGTAAAACTTGGAAGGAGGGCATGTAAAAGAAATGCAAAGAGGTGTATTGTGTGAAAAGTCTTTGATGTCAGCTAACCATTCAGTCATTAAGATATTTATTCTTTGTAACAGTTCATTAATTCTGGAGCCTTCCTAATTGCATTGAAAAGAAAAACCACAGAAACTCTGGTGAGTTATATTTCCACTTTATTAAAAATACACAACTTAGAAATAATTGATCCTGGCCTTGAAAAATAAATTTGTAAAGTCATTAGGCCACCATAGTTTCATGAACTGTCAAGTACTAGTACTAATAAATGGCATTTGCTTCCTGTTTTCATAGAATAATAAGCCATTAGTGTTAGCAGAGGGTTTTCTAGGCCACTCATTTTAATTCTGATTCTATATATAAAGACAATTACATGACTTGTCCAAGTTCCCCAGACAATTAATGGTAGAATAGGTCTCAGTATTCCAGTTATTCATTCATTATTTCTATAAGTATTTTGGGTATCTAGCAAATAAGATACACTTTGATAGGCAGTAGTTTGACTTTACCTGTAAGGTACACTGTAGATAATCCCATTAAGCCATAAGTAGAACATCAAAATATAGAATACAATGCTAATTCATGTGAAGTTATAAGTCACAGACAAATTATAAATAGGATACTTTTGCTTTACTCAAAGAATCAAAGATTTAAGATATTAATATGCCAATAAATTATTTTCAGCAAAGAACATCTGTTAGTTTGTCATTTTGCAAAGAAATATAAATTTCAGAGGAATTCAATGTTTAAACATGTGGGTCTTAAAAGTCCAAATATACTACAATTTTTGTCAAAGCATGAAAATACAATGTAACATGGCTAATTCCCCTAATATTTCCTTTGTTCTGCCAAATGAATGACAGTTGAACTACACACAGAATGTAGGGGATGGAAAGGTTTTTAAAAGCTCACTGGATCTTTTCTTTCTGTGGGTGAGGGCCCAAAGTCTAAAGGAACAAAGAGACCCACATATGACCACATGGCTGCCTCTTGGCTTTATGATGTGATGAAAATTCTGCTCTCTTGTCTCCCCATCCATTGCTTCATCCATGGTACATGTTGTACCTGAATCATCTGTCATGATCTTATTCTATTCTAGATGCTAACAAGCCGACTAATGAATTTTCTTAGTGCCCTGGGAGCAATAGCTGGAATCGCTCTCCTCGCATTTGGTTTCCTTCTAGATCAAGACTACATTTGCGGTTATTCTGTAAAAAATAATCATTGTGAGGCTATTACTATCCTATTCATGGTAAGTATGTTGCATTTTTAGAGTGAGGACCAAATGGTTTCATGCAAATGACTTATTATCACCCAATCAACACCATCCAGATGTTGTGGACATGCATGTTTTGTATGTACTTTCTTTTATTCACAAACATTTATGGAATCCATAATACTTGATAGACATTGTACCAAGCATTGTGGAATAGAAAAATAAACACCTATAACTCCCACCTTTAGGAATCCATGCATGATTAGAAGAGATAACACATGTATACAAATTAGTATTACAGAAATATAAAATGATATACTAAAAGAAAAATACAAGTACAGCAGTATAGTCACAGTTCATAGTTCTAGTCGTATCTTAGAATCACTGAGAAGTGTTTTTATGGTTTTAACATTAATAGTTAAGCCGAATTGATGATAAAGAATGGTAAGCTGAAAAGAGGCATTTCATTTTGCTCTTTCAAAATATCAATACAATTAGTCTTTAAAGGAATGTAAAAGGTTTGAATCCACATGGAGAGAAAATTATGTCAATGAGACATCAAAAATTGCTGAGGAAACTGAAAACTAACCACTTAATAGAAGTGAGATATTTCGAGCTTGGCATGGCAACTCATACTCATAATCCCAGCACTATGGGAAGCTGAAGCAAGAGGCTCACTTGAGGCCAGGAGTTTGAGACTAGCTGGGCAACATAGTAAGACTCCATCTCAAGAGAAAGAAATTAAGGAAAGGAGGGAGGGAGTGGGAAGCTAGCAGGATGTGGTAGAATGTACCTATAGTTCCACTTACTCAGGAGGATGAAGCAGAGGGATTGCTTGAGTCCAGGAGTTTGAGTTTGAAATGAGCTAAGTTGCTGCCACTGCACTCTAGCTGGGGAGACAGAGCAAGATTGTGTCTGAAAAAGCATTTCCTTCATCAACTGAGGGAATCATATGGTCTTTGTTTCTGGTTTTAATTTTCTCTTTTTGTTAGGTCCTTTCCTGTTGTTATTTCCCCTTTATCATTTCTGATTGAAGTTATTAGAGTTCTTACTTTTCTGCTTCTGGTTAGTCTAGCCAAGGGTTTATCAATTTTATTAACCCTTTCAAAAAACCAACTTTTTGTTTCCCTGATTTTCTGAATGATTCTTTTGTTTTCAATTTCATTTAATTCTGCTCTAATTTTGGTTATTTCTTTTCTTTTGCTGGATTTGGAGCTAGATTATTCTTCCTCTTCCAGTTGCTCGAAATGGCCCATTAGGTTTTTTATTTAAGGATTTTCTTTTCTTTTTTTTTTTTTTTGTCCTTTGTTCATTTATTTTTATTGAGATATAATTCTCATGCCATACTATCTGTCTTTTTCTTATTAAGTCATATATACACAGATCATGAATACATTTATGCCTTTGTGGGATTCAATGTGTTGATTATTTGTACAAATTAGAGTGCTTACATCCTACTAATTAACATAGCTTTCACCTCATTTACTTAATCACAGTGTTAAGACATTTGTGTTCAATACTTGATAGATTTGACTTATACCCTTGTGAGGGGGGGTGGTTCAATAGAGGGAGGGTTAATGGTGGGACTACACCTATGGAGGCTTTTGTTTTCAATTTCATTTAATTCTGCTCTAATTTTGATGATTTCTTTTCTTCTGCTGGGTTTGAAGCTAGATTGTTCTTCCTTTTCCAGTTGCTTAAGATGACCCATTAGGCTTTATATTTAAGGCTTTTGACAATATCCAGCATTCTTTTTGATAAGAACACTTAAGAAAATTGGCTTACGTGGGACACTTCTAAAACTAATAGAGGCCATCAACAACAAATGCACAGCCAAAATCATATTGAATGGAGTAAAGTGAAAGCATTTTCACTCAGAACTGGAACTAGACGGGGATGCCCACTGTAACCACTGCTATTTAACATAGTGCTGGAAGTCATGGCCATCACAATCAGCCAAGAAAAAGAGATCAAGGGCATACAAATCAGGTCAGAGGAGGTCAAACTCTTGCTCTTTATAGATGACATGATCTTATATCTGGAAAACCCCAGGGACTCAACCACACAGCTCTTAGAAACGATCAAGGACTTCTTCTATGACTTGGCAATTATGATTGAGCTGAAATGAACAATCTGGTGCAAATATCTTTGTTGCCAAATGATGCATTCCAATTTGTATAAATAATCAACACATTGAATTCCACAATGGCATAAATGTATTCATGATCTATGTACAAATGACTTAATAAAATAAAGAAATAATCAAAGAATATAGCAGTGCCTCAGGATTCAAAATTAATTCCCACAAAGCAGTAGCCTTTATATATACCAATAACAGTCAAGCTAAAAATAAAATCAAATACTCTATACCTTTTATAAGAACTCTGAAGAAGATAAAATACCTGGGAAGTTATCTAACAGAAGATATGGAAGATCTCTATAATGATAACTATGAAAACCTGAGAAAAGAAATAGCAAAAGATGCTAACAAATGGAAAAACTTACCATGCTCATGGCTGGTAAGAATCAACATCATTAAAATGTCCATTCTAATCAAAGCAAACTACAGATTTAATGCAATCCTCATCAAAGCATTAATGTTATACTTTGAAGAACTTGAAAAAATAATACTTCCCTTCATATGTAACCCAAATAGCAAACACAATTCTTAAAAATAAAAACATATCTGGAGGTATCATATTACCAGACTTCAGTTTATACTATAAGTCTATGGGGATCAAAACAGCATAGTACTGGCACAAAAATAGAGATATAGATCTATGGAATAGAATAGAGAATCTAGAGATGAACCCAGCCACCTATCACTATTTGATCTTTGATAAACCAAACAAAAGCAAGCACTGGGGAAAATAATCCCTATTTAATAAATGGTTCTGGGAGAACTGGATAACCACATGTAAAAGACTGAAACTCGACCTGCACATTTCACCACTCACAAAAACTGACTCAAGATGGATAAAAGATTTGAATCTAAGGCATGAAGTGATAAAAATCCTAGAAGACAAAGTGTGGGGAAAACTCTTAAGGATGTTGGACTGGGGAAACATTTTATGAAAAACACTTCCATGGCAATTGCAACAACAACCAAAAATAAACAAATGGGAGTTAATTAACCTGAAAAGTTTCCGCACAGCTAAGGACACAACAATTAAAGCAAATAGACAACTTTCAGAATGGGAGAAGATTTTTGCATCTTGCAAATCTGACAAAGGTCTGATAACTAGAATCTACAGAAAACTCAAATTAAGAAGAAAAAAGCAAATAATCCCATTTATAAGTGGATAAGAGACTTGAACAGAAACTTCCCTGAAGATGGCAGACAAATGGCCAACAAACGTATGAAAATATGCTCATCATCTTTAATCATCAGGGACATACAAATCAAAACCACTTTGAGATATCACCTAACCCCAGTAATATTAGCCCACATTACAAAGTCCCCAAACTGCAAATGCTGTTGTGGATGTGGAGAGAAGAGAACATTTCTACACTGCTGGAGGGATTACAAACTATATGATCTTTTGGGAAAGAAGTATGGAGAATACTGAAAGAACTAAAAGTCAACTTTCCATTTGATCCCACAATCCCATTACTAGATATCTACCCAGAAAAACAAAAAGCATTTTATCACAAAGACATTTTCACCAGAATGTTTATTGAAGCTCAATTCATAATTGCCAAGTTGTAGAAGCAACCCAACAAACCATGATATTTGAGGCAACCCATCAAACCATGAATGTATTAACAAATTGTGGTATATGTATACCATGGACTACTATACAGCCATAAAAAAGTTGAAGACTATACATCTTTTATGTTTGTGTGGCTATAGTTGAAACATATCCTTCTTAATGAAGTATCTCAAGAAGGGAAAAAAAAAAACCATGTGCTCAATACTAATATGAAACCAATACATAAATAATTGCACATCCACACAAAGGATAAAACACGAATATAGTCTAGCAAGGGGGAGGGAAAATGTGGCAGAGGGATGGGAAGGGGGGGAGGGTAACTGATGGGATCTCACCTAATGTACATAATATGATGTTTAGCACACCCCTTGGGTGAAGGGTCAACTATAACTAGAACTTTACCTTGGAAGTTAGGACAATGTAACCTAAAAATTTGTGCCCTCATGTTAATTTTAAATAAATAAATAAAAAGAAATTACACGACTAAAATTCTAAAATAAAATTGTGCCAACCTAGAATTTTGGGTGTAGTAAAAATATTCTCAAAAGTGAAACTGAATGTTTCCGTATAAAATGAAGTACTAATTTTTCCAGATCTTTAATGCATGACAGAGGTACTGTAATAGGGATTGCATTAAATCTATAGATTGCTTTGGGAAGTATAGACATTTTAACAATGTTGATTCTTCCCAGCCATCTTCAGCTATTTCTCTTTTCAGAGTTAAATAGTTCTCTTTATAGAGATCTTTCACGTCCTTTGTTAGATACACTCCCAGATATTTCATCGTCTTTGGCACTATTGTAAAGGGAATAGAATCCTTGATTGTTTTATCACTTTGACTATTGTTGGTACATATAAAAGCTACAGATTTGTGAGTATTGATTTTGTATCCTGAGACACTGCTGTATTCCTTGATCACTTCTAGAAGTTTTGTAGCTGAGTCCCTGGGTTTTTCCTGATATACAATCATATCATCTGTGAAGAGTGACAGTTTGATCTCCTCTGATCCTATTTGGATACCCTGATTCCCTTATCATGCCTGATTGCAATGGCTAACACTTCCATTACAATGTTAAAAAGTGAAAACAAATCAGGAGGTATCACGCTTCCAGACTTCCGACTATACTATAAATCTATAGTAATCAAAACAGCATGGTACTGGCACAAAAATAGAGAGGTAGATGTATGGAACAGAATTGAGAACCAAGGGATGAACCCAGATACTTATCATCCATCATTTGATCTCTGATAAGCCTATCAAAAATATAAATTGGGGGAAAGATTCTCTATTTAACAAATGGTGCTGATTGAATTGGCTGATGA